TTTTGTAATTAATCTATGAATAGAGTTGCAGTCAAGGACAGGTGTGCACTGTTACAAGAGCTACGGACAACGGATATGTGGCTAAATGTGTCACTCCGCCGAGTAAGTTATGATAATGATGATGGTGATGATGATAATGATGATGGTGATGATGGTAATTATGATGGTGACGATGATGACGATGATGGTGACAGTGATGATGATGATGGGGACGACGCTGGCTCCATTGAAGGAAATAGTAATGATTGAAATCATAATAAGTTTATTTTAACGTATCATCATCATTATCAACATCGTTATCATCATCATCATCATCATCGTCATAAGCATCAGGATCGTGCCCGAAATTGTACTGCAGCGAGCCAGCGTGTGTTTATGGTTACGTGCTCGATTCCAATGGCTGCCAAACATGTGAATGCAAACACCCTTGCAAAGTTTGTGACGATGACGACGATGATGATGGTGATAATTATGGTGATTTATTCATTTGTTCATCAACTCGTTCATTCATTCATTCGTTTGTTCGTTCGTTCACTTGTCAGTTAGTTCTAACATCTCCTTTATTTGTTCATCTATTTTTCTATCACTTTATGCATTCATTCATTTATTCACTAATTCATTCACTCACTCGTTCACTCATTCACTCACTCCAGGATTTCGGATGTCGCGCTAATAGCACCTGTCAGCTCTTACCATCGGTCAGTAATCCAAGCACCCTTGAACCAAAATGTGTCGGTCAGTAAATAATAGTTATAATAATAATAACAACTTTTATTTTTTTTATTGTTGTTGTTGTTATTATTGTTTTTACCATTATTTTTTCATAATTATTTAAAATTTCTTCATTGTCTTTAATGATTGTTCTTTAATTCCGTCATCTTCATTATCGTCACCCTAACCATCCCCATCATCGCCATCATCAAAAACAACACTTCAGTTTGCCCCAAACTGACCAGCTGCCCTAAAATTGGGGTCTGCCCCAATGGCCTGGCCAAAGACCAGAACGGATGTGACGTGTGCGAGTGCAAGGGCTGTGATTGCACTCCAGTTTGCAGCGGCAACTTCTGCCTAGACTACCGGAAGATGGATTCGAAGACGGGCTGCCAGACTTGCCCCTGCGAATCAGTGAACTGTAACGTTAGTGGCGATGGTAACGTTTATGTTAATGACCGTGACGTCATTTGTGTAACTGTGATAATGTTAGTGACGATGATGACAATGATGTTGATGATGATGATGGCGACTACGACACGCGTCCACACATGCATACTACATGCTGCACGTACATACACACACACACACATATATGCATGCACACACATACATACACACACACACAAACATGCATGCACACACACACACAAACATGCATGCACACACACATACACACATGCATGCACATACATACACACACACACACTTGTACACGTACACACACATACACACACACATACACGTACATAATGTATTCAGATGGAATGCGGTTCAAATCAAAACTGTGAGAAGAGATACACCAAGGATGGCCGCTTGTATGGAGTTTGCCTGGATAAATGTAATTTATTTTTTTTTTACTTATAATTTTAAAAATTATGGTTCATTCATTTATTTAATCATTTATTCATTCAATCAATCATTCATTAATTCATTCATCCATTCATTCATTCATTTCGTTCATCCATCCATCCATGTAGTCGTATGTCCAAAGAGCTCGTGCCAGACTGGGAGTTGCAAGTACGGCTTGGAACTTGACGACAACGGATGTTACATGCAGAACTGCGCTTGTAGGGATCCTTGTAAGGTGACGTCATCGACGATGTCATCATCATCGTCATCATCATCATCATCATCATAGTTATAATTAACTACGATCTGTTGTTATTTCGTCAGCACTAACAAATTTACCATCGTTATCATCATCATCATTTTTATTGTCATCATCATCATCATCATGGCATCATCATCATCACGGCATCATCATCATCATCATCCTCATCACCATTATCATGGTATTCAGAAACAAAACTGCCAACCAAATAGTTTCTGCAAGATGAGCGCGGACGACTGTCCCCCTGGTGCCCTATGTAGGGACGCCCCCATGCCCTACTGCGAAGGTCGGTCAGATTAGTTCGATGTTGAGTAGTTGCTGCTGCTGCTGATGTGAATGCTTGTTAAGTTAGTTTGATGTTGAGGAGTAGATGCGGCAAATATTTTCAAGAACGTTAACCTTTTTACTGGGCTTATTCTCATTATTCTATGTTTCATACTCACCCTCACTCATCTTCATCTTCTTCCTCTTCTTTTTCTTTATCATCACCACCATCACCACCATTATCATCATCTTAATCCTCATTATCACCATCATCACCACCACCATCATCATCATTCCAGTATGTCCAAATCTTTCAAGCTGCACTCTGAACTGCCCAAACGGTCTTCAAAAAGACCCAACCACAAACTGCTCAACCTGTCAGTGCGCTCAAAATCCCACTAATACTGGTGGGCAGAAAAGCCAAGGAGAACAAGGGGGGTCCTATGGCAGTCCCTGTGCTCCCGCCTGTCCGGGAATGATTTGCCCCAATGGGAAGGCTGTTGATCCCGCTAGTGGGTGTGAGATGTGTCAGTGTAAGGCTTCTCCGTGTCAGGTTGGTTGGTTGGCTGGTTGGTTGGTTGGTTGGTTGGTTGGTTGGTTGGTTGGTTGGTTGGTTGGTTGGTTGGTTGGTTGGTTGGTTGGTTGGTTGGTTGGCTGGTTGGTCGATTGGTTAATTGATTGGCTGTTGAACTGATTTGTCAAAATTACTACTAATACTACTACTTTTATCACCCTTGTTAATATTACTACTATTGCTACGAACGATTACTACTATAATTATTAATAATAATAAAAATAATAAAATTAATTAATATTAAAATAAAAATTAATTAATTAATTAATTTTTCTTTACAGAATTTCCCGTGTGCAAGTACTGAATACTGCCTTGTCGACCGTACGAACAACATAGCTACTCCACTTTGTATCCCTAACCCAACGTCACCCGGTTGGTTGGTTGGTTGGTTCGTTTGTGTGTTGGTTGGTTGATTGGTTGATTGGTTGGTTGATTGATTGGCTGGCTGGTTGGTTCGTTCGTTTGTTGGTTGGATGGTTGATTGGCTGGTTGATTGATTGGTTGGATGGTTGATTGGCTGGTTGATTGGTTGGTTGATTGGTTGGTTGGTTGATTGGCTGGTTGATTGATTGGCTGGTTGATTGGTTGTTTGGTCGATATACGATCTGATTGCTTTGTTGATATTTGTTTTAATTTTAAATAGCAACAATCGGTGATTAATCATTTAATTGCATGTTAATCGCACGCACACACACACTCACACACGCACACACACACGCGCACACACATCAAATGCAAATTCTTTTCTTTCAATAATCTCAAATAATTTATGCAACAACTAATAGAAGAAATTTTTAAGGTTGATCGAGACAAAAAAAACAAAAAAGTTTATCTAATCCGACCGCCTTTTATCACTTTTATAATTCTTAAAACATGACCACACACAGACACACACACATACACACACACACACACACACATCCAAAACCAGCACCACATAACTGCTCCGTACCGCTGGCCTCATGTGACCAGTCCAAGTGTCCGATGGGGATCGAACGTGATCAGTCCGGCTGCCCTAGTGCGACGTGTGGCTGTCATGACATATGCAAGGTACGAAACAATTATTTTTATTATTATTATTATTTTATTATTATTATTATTATTACTACTACTACTACTACTACTACTACTACTACTACTACTACCAAATGCCTCACAGGGCGTTGAATGTCCTATGGATCAGACGTGTGTTGTCACAGATCAGTGCCCTGATAACAACGTTGACTGTAGAGATAGATTTTTGAGAGTCTGCGTGGCAACTCCCACTACCACAACCACTACAACCACCACCACTACTACTACTACTACTACTACCACTACTACAACAACTACTACTACTACTACTACCACTACTTCTACTTCAACTACTACTACCACAACTCCTAAACCCACATCAAAAACAACAACGACTTTGACTACTACTACTACTTCTCCAACCACCACAACCACAAAATCACGTGACCAGCAATGCCCACCAATCAACTGTCAGTCTCCCTGCCGGATGTTCCTTAACCGGGATACGAATTGTTACGAGTGCGATTGCACTTACGACCTGTGCGCTGTGAGTTTGTGTGTGCGTGCGTGTGTTTGTGTATGTGTGTGTGTTTTTTTATGTGTGTGTGTGTGTGTATGTATGTGTGTATGTATGTGTGTATGTATGTGTATATGTGTGTGTGTGTATCTGTGTCTTTGTGTGTATATTTGTGTATATGTGTGTGTACAAGTGTAAGTGTGTGCGTTTGTTTTTGTATGTGTGTGTGTGTGTATTTGTGTGTATGTACGCGTGTATATATGTGTGTGTGTGTGTCTGGAAGTGAATATATGAATAAATAAATAACAAATAAAGGATAAAACAAATATAATATCGCTCATCATCATCGCTCCATAAACAAATACCATAGAACTTTAAATGTCCGGAAAACCAAAGATGTCAGATTCAAACTCAGCCAGAATGTGATCCAATGAAAGCCAACTGTAGAGATGGACCGATGAGGATGTGTGTTGGTCAGTGATGATGATGATGGTGATGATGGCGATGATGATAATGTTGATGGTTATGGTGATGATGATTATTATTATTATTATTATTATTATGGTTATTGTTATTAAATCTTTTACCATAATTCTCCTCCTTCAACAGATAATAACGACATATCAATGACCACGAAAACCTACTGTCCACCAATTAACTGCCCTCTCCCGTGTTCGATTTCGTCATTATCACCACCATCATCGTCATCATCATCATCATCACCGTCTTGTCCGATTTGCCAATGTCCAGATAGCTGTAACGTTAGTCTTACGTCTTTCGTGAAATTTTGGTGGCTGCATTCATTACCACCGTCACCATCGTCATCATCATCGTCATCATCATCATCGTCATCCTTTTCTTCTTCATCATCATCATCGTCGTCATCATCTTCTTCTTCATCGTCATTATCACCATCTTCTTTTTCATCGTCATCATCATCGTCATCATCACCATCAGGGGGCCAGGTGTAATGATAATGATGAGTGCGTCATGGTCTTAACCCAGTACTGTAACAGAGGGGACTGTCCGCGGGTAGCCAGATGTTTACCAAGTGAGTTATGATGATGATGATGATGGAGATGGTAATTGGGATGCTGATGATGATCTTACTTATCCACTCACTCATTAAGTCCTTTATTTAGTCACACTTTTTTATTTCCGCTTATATTTCAAAAATTCACATCTTTGTTCGCTTGTTGGTCTGTTTCTCCGTTCATTCGTTTATTCATTTGTGCATTAATTCAGTTATTCAATCAATCAATCATTCATTCATTTTTTCATTCATTAATTTATTCATTTATTTATTTAGTCATTCATTCATTCATTCATTTATTCATTCATTCATTCATTCATTCATTCAGAGGTTCCTGCGTTCTGTTCACTGGGTCTGAACAATGGCCAGCCATGCGGAGTTGCACCCGTCAATCAGTGGTTGGTTTTGATAATGAGGATGGTAGTGATGATGATGATGATGAGTGATTATTAATTAATTCATTAATTCATTAATTCATTCATTCATTCATTCATTTATTCATTCATTCATTCATTTTTCAGGTATTACAGCAGTGCAACTCAGCAGTGTGAACTATTTTCATTTACTGGTTGCAAAGGCAATGAAAATAGGTCAGCGGTGATTTAATTGGTTGATATTTTTGTAAACTTACATGATTGGTCAATTATTAATTGGTACCGTTTTATGATTGGCTGATTTAGAAATTCCTTACATCATTGTTAATTTTTAAATCAATACTGTTATATGATTGGTTGATTAATGCACTTCTAACATAATTAATTAATTATTAATTGCTATCTATAAGATGATTGGTACCTTTATGTGGTTGGCTGAATAATAAACCTTTTATATGATTGGTCAATCATTAATATGTAACTATTACTTGATTGGTTGACCTAGATTCCCGACTCTGACGTCATGTACTTCCGCCTGCGTTCGCTCATCTTTCAACTGCCAGCCCCTATCCAACATCACGTGTCCAATTCAAACATGCAAGTTTGGATACAAACTGGATGAAAACGGATGCAAAATGTGCACGTGTATCGATCCGTGCGAGGTGAGATGCTGATGCTGTTTGGAGAAGGGTGGAGAGTGAGTTTTTGGTGAGATATGGATGATGTTTGGAGAAGGGTGGAGAGTGAGTTTTTGGTGAGATATGGATGATGTTTGGAGAAGGGTGGAGAGTGAGTTTTTGGTGAGATATGGATGATGTTTGGAGAGGGGTGGAGAGTGAGTTTTTGGTGAGATATGGATGATGTTTGGAGAGGGGTGGAGAGTGAGTTTTTGGTGAGATATGGATGATGTTTGGAGAGGGGTGGAGAAAGAGTTTTTGGTGAGATATGGATGGTGTTTGTAGAGCGTGCTTTTGAGATAGTGATAAAATTGGAGAGGGCAGCTTCTGTGAAGTAGCGATGAATTTCAAAGAAAATTTCAATCACACACAGACACAACCACACACAGACACACACAACCACACACAGCCACACACAGACACACACAGCCACACACAGACACACAACCACACACACACACGACCACACACAGACACACACAGCCACACACACAAACTTACAGAACTACATGTGCCCGTACGTCGGCCAACGTTGCAGTCTACAGAGCCAAATCTGCATCCAACCCCCGTGCGACCCCACCTTCTACGTGGAGTGTCACTGCCCCACGGACATCACGTGCCCCCACGGCAGGGTCGGGGAAAGTTGCGAGTGCTATGACCCATGCTCGGTTGGTTGATGATGATTGTGATGGTGATGATGATGATGATGATAGTGATGATTGTGATGGTGATGGATGTGATGATGATGATTGTGACGATGGTGATGATGATGGATGTGATGATGATGATTGTGATGATGATGATGGTGGTGATGGTGATTGTAAAGATTTGCAATTATGATGATGATGATAATGATTACGATGACGAAGTTAGCGGCGATGATTGGGATGATGATGATGAATGATAGCAACAAAAATTATTACCACAGTAATCATAATAACATTTTATTATGCTATAATTATAATATAAAATAATTTACAGAGCGTCAAATGTGGGGCAAACCAACTGTGTAGCATTGTGGAGCAGGGCTGTGATGAAAAATATATCAGCGAGAAGTGTCAGGCTGTTGGTGTTTGTGTTGGTGAGTAAGATTATGATAATGATGATGATGATGATGATGGCGAGATGATGATGATGATGGAGAGAAGATGATGATGATGGGGAGATGATGGTGATGATGATGATGATGATGGGGAAATGATGATTATGATGATGATGATGG